TAACCTTATCCGTGTTCGGAAACTAGTAGATTACTGATCCAGCTTAGTGATCGAGATCAATATTTTGTGACCCACTCTACGAGTAGGTTAGTAATAGATCGGCATGCGCACCTCAGGTTTTTATAAAGGGATAACGCAATTTTTTGGAGTTTGGTGTCTGCCAGTAGTAGCTTTGAAGTTTTTTCTGAATTTAATTAGTTGTAATCTTTATGCCCATATTGCGACTTTATTAGTCAGACTACAAATATGTTTAATTAAAATAATTCTTTAACAAATTAGGGGGAAATGTCAAAGATTGACAGACGTAGATGAACAGGAAGGAACAACAGTCCAACTCGTTCGTAAACTGTCGCTACTAAGTTCAGTGATCCACTTGATCCAACGGGTAAACCTAGTAATCTGGATTTGTTATCTATAGTAGGTTTCCGAAAACGCCTTATATTGTTGATTTTTATCACTGTCTGATAATTTCAAAGTTTAAGCACAGCTTATACAATACAGCTAAAACACTCTCTTGGCGGCAACGGTTTGCGTCGATTTCGTCGCGCATCGCTTAAGCTCCGCCTTCGAAGGGAAAAGACGGTTTTGGCGTTCAGAAGTGTACTTAGGTAAGGTGTTGAGTCGTGCGTATAATTTCGTTGATTGTATAATTTCGTGGAGCCTATAATTTCGTAGATTTTGTTTGAGTTAAAGGTACTGTTATTATTTTGGTGACTCTTTAGCTGTGAGTAGAATGAATGAAAAAAAAAGACATCATTCTGTTTGTGCAGTCAAAAGCTGTTTTAATAAGGGTTATACCTGCAAGAAAACATTCTTTAGTTTTCCCAAGGACCCAAACCGATAAGTACCACATTATAAGAAATTTTCATTGTTAAAAATATAATTTATACAGGGTGTCCCATTAGTGCGTTATTGTTCATTATTTTGTTGTAGACACGCAAGAAAGTTTTAAATAAAAGTTATATGGATTTGAAAAATACCTACATATTTTAAAAATATCTTTGGATATACAGGGTGTCACGTTTGCCTGGCAAATTAAAATGTATGTTTTTTAAATGGAACACCTTGTATTTTATTTTATGATGAAATTATTAACACCCTAAATTATTGTAAAGACGAATTGCTACAGAAAATTTTTATCAGGTATGTGTGTGGTTACCTTTTAATAAAAGCCTTGCGGATCCACTCCTGCAATACCTGTCTTAAATATAACAAAGATCACGTTGAAATAGATGATTTTTCTTTTTATTGCTTTTTAAAGGCATATGATAACGCCAATTCAGATACATTTGGAAATCTGCAACTGTCAAATGATGAATTTGTAGAACTAATATTCAATATTGAAAAGATATTTCAAAATAATTTTGAAGAATTGGCTACAAAAAATAACATTTGTACCACACTTTTAGAATTAATTAACCCAATACCCTTTAGTCATCCATGCTAACGTTTTCCAAAAGAATAACTTATTTTATTGTATGTTTAATCTCAATAACTAAAAAAATATACTGACAATTAGTTTGACAGAATTGTCATTTATTTAAAATTTTAAAAATAATAGCAGCCGGTTGATCAAAATATGAACGGTGATTGGTGAATTTATTTTTTTTGCAGTGTTCTCACTACCTAGAATGGATATGAAATATATTCGTTCAATTGAAGGCAATAGCATACTTTTTCGTTTTGTAATCTGTGCATGGATATTAGCCAATCTACGCACATACTACAAAACGAAAAAGTATGTTATTGTGTTCAACTACGAATATATTTCATATCCATTTTAGGTAGTAAGAACACTTTAACAAAATTAAATCTACAAATCACAGTTCATATTTTGGTCACCCAACTCCTATTATTTAAAATTTTTTAAATAAGTGACAATTCTGTTAAACTAATTGTCAATATATATTTTAGTTATTGATATTAAATATACATTAAAATTTTTGTGCAGACTCGATAAATAAAAGCATTTTTGTTTCTATTGTGTCCACATTAAAAAAATAAATAAATTTTAATTAAACTACATGATACTAATTTAATTACGAGTATTAAAACTAAAGTCCTGAAAGTTTCGGTGAAGATGAAGACAGAGCATCTGCCTTCCACGCGAAAAGTCCGGGATCGAATCTAGGCCGAGGACTAATTAATTTTTCATGTTTATTTTATTTTATAAATTAGTCAACTTCGTAAATTATTTAAAAATTAGTTATTTTGTCTAAATAACCTAAAATAATTTTTTAAATTTGTAGATTTTCGTTAGTGGGTCGTAGAAAAAATATACTGACCATATCGAGTAGATTGTTCATATCACAATCAGACGATTGAGTTCTCCGCCTACGACGTCGTGCTCAAACTTCGTCTTTGTGTGATATGGCTATCATATCCACCCTTGTTGAACAAACTACAATTTATTTGTTTTCTTGGTTTAAGTTTTACATCAGAAATAGGAATTAAATTAATTTACTTTTCAAGTTTTCTTGTAAAAATCGATATTACTTTCTCCAAGTACAAATTTAGTACCTACCTAAAATAAGTACTAATTATGTTATATCTATTGTAATTCAAATTTCACATTACTATAAAGTTTTAAAATTTCCTACTTTTTATATTAATAAAAACTGTCAAAGTATAACTTCTACAAATCTGTATTTCAAATAATAAGAATACATCTAAATATAACCAATATTGTTAAAACAAAAGCACACATTCTTTATGATTCCAAAATACCATATAGAGTTCCCAGACCTCAGTCGAAGCATTCATCGTTTATCTAGGTATAAACCCTTTGCGCGAAGAGTAACACTTGCCAGAGACAGGGGGGTACCACTTGATTTGCATCCACGAGCGTGACACAATTCTTTAACAATTGAAGCCCTTGGTGTAAAATGGATCCAAGCCACAATTTGTCGTGAAGTGACTGTTTTAGCTCAAAACATTTGTTAACGAGGATTTTACTAGCCATATATAAATTATTTTACCTCTAATCCGAAAGATGTGCTATTTTTCGTAATATTTATATTTAAATAATTTTTTTAATTATATTTGAAAGATTTAAAACAAATTAAAAATGTAATTTCCCAAAACTTACTTAATATGGCATGTGACCAACCTTATTACGCCAAGGTTTTCAATTTTTTCAATAATAAAAAAATTGTTTAATCCGGGCCCGACTTTTCCCTTGAATCTAACAGAGATAGCACCATTCCGTCTTGCTTGGTTCTCGACCGCCAGATCAAAGACGCCGACACGGAGTTGTGGAGCTGTATTGTATAAGCTGCAGTGTTGCCGATTTGCGTATAATTATACGATTTTCGTATATTCTAACTTGCCAGCGTATCCTTTTCTAACTCTTTGAAATTCCGTATAATTTCCGTATATTCTGGAAAAACTATGGATCTTTTTGGATTTCCATTTATTTTAGAAATAAGTTTAGGCACTTCTGAGTTTATTTGGACAACTTAGTTTTTCCAGTGTGTCTCCTGCTCTACTTTTATTAAACAGTGGCTGACTGGTAGCTAGCTGGCTGCTTATTTTAATAAAAGCCACATTGACAAATGAAAACAGGCCCGAAACCGGGTATTCACCGAACCGATATTGTTCGCATTATTGAAATGCACTTTTCTTTGGAACTTTTGGCTTTCAGCAGTCTATCCTGAATGAATCTGCATTACCACATTTATTTTCTCGGCACTCCCCCTTCTCACAAACCTAAAGCCAAACCTGGCAGCAACACAAATTTGATATCCTCAAATGCAAAGATGTGGCTACAAAGCTAAATCTGCAATTCGTATAAAACGCGTATCTTTTGTACCCAACCATCGTATAATTTAAAGTTTGGGTATTGGCAACACTGATAAGCTGTGGTTTAAGTCTGGAGCCAGGTTCATGGGCTGGCCAGACGCTAATATCTTTTTGAAACAAACGAAAAATGCATAATTTTTGATTACTTCTTTTTTATAATCTCGTACTTTTAAATTTCAAATAATCCTTAAACTTATGATTTTATTAACAACTTGACAACGTTTGTTATTTTTAAGACAAACTGTCATTTAGAGTAATTGTTTTGTGATTATGACCTGTAAAATTCGGGTTTCTAATTATTTTCTTTTTTTTTTTTTTTTGAAAAACACTGCTTCATTCATAATTTTTTTCGAAAATTTAGTATAGAAACTATTTACTTTTTTTGAGTGTTTAAAATTTTTTGTGAATTTCGCACCTCAGGATCCTTCACCGGACCCACAATTACTGACCGCACTTCAATTGAAAATTAGTTTTGTATTAAATTTAAATGCATATTTATATTTACTTGCCTAAAACATTAAAATTGCCTACTACTGTAAATATTTCCTCCTGCAAGCTCCGAAAATCTCTTATATTTTTAATGACACACACCTTTATTTTACATTTACGAGTAGGTATGTATGTATGTGTATTTTAGATATGTTGTAATGTACATGATTGAGGATGATCCATCCTAATAATAGTTTAGAATCATTGGGGGAAACCCACAATTTACGTGTGGGTTTCCCCGTTTCACCATTATTAAATGCAAATTTAAATTTCAACAAAAATGGGTATAATTAAGATACAGCAAAACTTGCCTGCTTTGACCATGGGAAAAAATATATACTAAGCTAGAAATAAAACTTTTTAGCGTTTCGAGGTATTTTACGTTAAAATAATAGGCCAATGTTCTTTGGATGGACACCATATGTATGTTAATACTTTTCAAAATGATTTTGATAATAAAAAGATCCGGGTTATCACAGCCAAATTGCGCAATATTGCGTTATACATACATCATATATTTTCCTTTTATTGAAATGAAATATTTTTTTGTGCTCGTTCTACAGATAAGGCATACAAAAAAATTGCTGAAAAAAATGCGTTCGAAGAAACATCAAAGTACGCCTAACATTTCAATTTAACAAAGGAATGAATAGGTATAGCGTAGGTACATCGACCTTTTAAATCTTAAAAACTATAGATAAATTACCTACCTGGTTTCTTTCCTTTTCCCATCGCGAAGCACTAGTTAGAACAATTATTTCAAAAAACTATTGTTCCGATTTATTATTTCACGTAGGTATAAAACGACAAAACAATGGAGAGCGAGTAAGTTTATCGTTGCTTTTGCTTCTGAATGGTGAATAAAATCGAATGTAATGGATGCCGTGGGCTGCGCTTTATATAATCTAAGTGACGTCACTTTTATAACGTTCCTTATGCGCACAAAGGGTTTGTTTTCGTTCAAACAGAACCGCCAATTCCAGTTCTTAAATACAGTTGACGAATTCATTTTTCAAGAATTCGTCGCGATAATAATCAACCTACTGAGCTGAACGAGTGTAATTCACTGATTCTGAATTAGTTCGTTAAAGAACCAAAACAAGCCTAAAAGAAACTGACCTATAACTAGGAATCAATTTAGCGCGAGATTTGAATACAACGTAATGTGTGATTTCTGATTGGCAGCCACATAAAAAATTACCCAACTCATTGATTTTATCACTGTTTCTGGAAAATACGATAAAATTGATAAATACCTAAATAACTATAAAAGTACCTAGAATATTTATCGCGTTGACTTTTTCAATAATTTGTTTTCACTTTATTGGGTGTTTGAGGATACATTTCATAATTTCGTAGAGAAATTTATTTCTGCTTTTCCAAAAAATTAATTTTTTATAGTTTTCGATTATTCTCCTTTTGTAAAAAAAAATGTTCCTACGTAAGTTGGTTATTGCATTTACAGTAGAACCTCGATTATCCTGGCCAGCCGGGACCGAGAGCCTTTGCCGGATAATCCAGAAACCTCATTTTTAATTTTATAATTTATTTATACTTATGCCAAAGGAACAATAAAAGAAACGTAATACATGTAACAAAAAATAAAAGTTTTAATATATAATGAAAGAACGTTTACATTGAATGTAAAACACATATGTTATTGATATCTGGTTCAAAATTAAGGGTTGTGATCTGGGAATTAAAAAATTGTTTAAGGAAATCAGAATATTTTGAAAAGTTGAAAAATTTAGAGGGGTTTGTCAGCTAGATTTGTAAAGAAAAGAAAGGTTTTTGTGTTGAAATTTATATTGGATTATTGAATGTGAATTTGTAGGGGATAAAAAAAGAAACAAAGTCAAATTTATTTCACATTGAAGAAAAAAAAAGACCAGCAGGTAGTAAGGGTAGAAACAGTTATAAATTGGTATAGGAGAAAGAAGTCAAGGTATTATCATCAAATAAAAACCTTTCTAGATCGTTATATTATTCCTATTAAGCAATCTGGTTTTCGCTATAATCACAGTTTCAACACCGCCCTACTTTCAGTCATTGACGATATCATTAGAGCCACAGAACACTTACTCTATTAGAGCTACTGACCAAAATCAACTTAGAGTTTTTTAGTCTTATTAGACGTTTGACAGAATAAATCATGTGATGCTAATAAGGTTATTACACCATCTGGGATTTAATGAAGATTCAAAACGTCTTATCTTATCTATAGAATACAGTATGTCAAATATAAAGATAAATTATCTTTTTCACTAAACATAGAAAATGGGGTTCCCAAGGATCCATTCTGGGCCCTTTATTATTTTGTATCTATACATCTTTATTCCCAGAATCACTAAAGTATTGTAATTTTCACCAATATACAGATGATACTTAGAATTTACCTTCCATTTCCTGCGTATAAATTTGAAGAAAGCACCACCAAGGTAAATTCTGATTTGAATCTACTTTTTAAATTATCTAATGACTATTGTTTAGATATAAATCCCTCTAAATCTCATCATGTTATGTTGTTTGACAGAAAAAAGATAGAATGAAAAGTCGCAGTCTTGAGTTTTAGTAAATGATTTTGTTTGTTCTTGGATAGACCCTCTATCAATATTCTGGACTGCCCAAGATAATATAGGGCGACCATACGTACAGCATTTTCAAAGTCTGTCCAGCATTTGATCTTGTACAGCAAAACATCCTATTTGTCCAGCAAATACAATACCTAATAATTCACTGAAACTTAACAAATAAGACTTGGGGAGATAAAAGAAAGTCTTCAGGTATCTACAGGACTTCTGTTTTTTTTTGTATTTATCCTCGAGTTGGGAGCTAAAAAAAGTCATCACCTCTTGGGCTCAGCATTGGGTCAAAGGAAATATGGTCGCCATATGATAATATGGAATACCACATTGGGGTGCAGTTAGTGGAGTTCAGCAACATGACTAATCATTGCATTACTTCTGAATTTAGTGTCCTCTAGTGGGATAAAAACCTGTTACATCTTGTAAACTGTAACACTTCATTTGAAAGCTAATTCTATTAGCAATTTAAATAATTGAAACCCCTTGCAGAGCACTAAGCTATAAAAAAAACTAATTGCAATCAATCACATTTTTTATTCATGTATGAAATTACTGTTAAAATTAGGTTTCAAATCAAGTGTCTCACTTTACAATACTTGTATCCTGCTAGAGCAGGGGCGGAGCCAGAACCTTTCCAATTGACCCCACCTCGGATTCTAGTCGATCTACTAAAACTAAAATAATGGAAGATTCATATTGCTTAATTCCCCATGACATTAGTTTTTCAACGGTAGGTCATACTTGGCCTTTCCCTTTCCTGCTTAAATATTGGTTAGAGTGACAGAGAGGAATGAAATGACATATATGATTGATAGTTGAGGATATGATAAAGGTGTCCTCCTAGAATAAAAACTGATCTGTTTTTGCGATTTTCTTTTTTCAATCAAGTCAAATATTTAGATGCAGCCCTTTGCATGATAGTGAATGGTCGGTCCTCAATTAAAATGAAAATATAAATTTTGGAAATCATCCCTATTTTAATTTGTTAAATAACATTTAAAAAGTAAACTTAACAATAATATAATGAAAATCTGTAATTTATAAAATATTTGGGCTTAAGAACATTATATTTTAGTTTTCTCTTTCATTTTTATAGATGGTTTTTTCTTTTCAGCAGTTTTTTTAACACTTTCGATGATATTGTCCTTCTTCTCTTTTATGCCTTCTGTAGTCTCTTGTAAACTTTCCATTAAAGTTTCCTTTTTTTCCTTTATACCTTCTGCCATACTTCGCTTCTTTTCTTCATAGATTTCCTTCATTCTTTCTTTACTAGGAACTGGTTTAATGTACCCCCATTTTTTTAAATAATTTATAGAGATAGTGGTACCTCCTACTGTCACAGTATATCGAGCAGGAGTGGCTATTTTGTAACAAGCATAAGCAACAGCAACATATCCCATACTTGAATCTCTTAGGGGATTGATAAGTTTTTCACTTACATGCCATGATTCCAAAACATGAATAATGTCAAAACCACTAAAATTAAAATACATTAGAACTTTATGTACATTCAGGAGCAATACATTCACTTGTACAGGACATTTTTCATTATCATTAAAATAAGTTAAAATATAGAAGTTTGTGTTAAAACCAAGAAGAGCTCACACTTGAGACATTCACTGAGAATGTACTTAATTATTTGTCTTTATGTATACATGACTGACTCTAGTAGCAAACTTGAATTACATTTTATTACCTTTTTGCCATATAATAAAATCCTCCAAACCACATAGTGGAAGTAATAATATGGACAGGCACTAGAACATACCAGTAATCTCTGTACATTTGTTTAAATTTTTGGAAAAGCGTTAATTTCTCAGGTTCGGGTTCACAGTGTTTCTTCTCATTACAATAATTCATAAAGCCTTCATAGATTCTGGGTCTATTTAAAATTGCTATTTTATATCCATTATTGAGTTTTTTTTCAATTAAAGATGTATTCAACGACGATGCACTGCAAGTATAACAACTTAAAACTGAATAATATTTGTGGCACCATATTTTCCTCTTTAAAAGAACTCTTGAAAGTGTCCTGTTCAAGACATTGGCCATTTTTTTATATTATTCTTTAATTCTTTTCATAAAAGGCTTGGTTATATTTTACCGCTTAACGATATATTCATATTTACGTTTCAAAATGATAAAAAAATTATAAATTCCTAACCGGTCATGATAAATATGTTGACAGACGAAGTTTAAATTGTCAGTTGACACCACGTTGACACTTGATGATTGACATAAGCAGAGTTCGGCCTCTACTTCTTTGGTTCGGCAAACACGTAGGCATACGATAATCGCTTTGAAATCGATGTTCACAAATAAATGCCCTAAACTAAAATCGCTAGATGACAAATGTCATCTTATTCGCTGTCAAAATTACCTCTTTTGTGTCCGTCCATTTCGTGGACACATGTAATATTGGGCCGATTTTATTTTTAGGTATTATCCAGGTAAGTGGAACGATCAAATAACAAAAGAATCGAATTTATTGCATATGATTTATTTCTAGTTTTATTTCTTTTCAATATTTTGTATTTAGTTTTAAAATTGCAACACATTTGCAGTAGTGTTGCAGTAACAGTTTTTCTGTTAGTATTTCAGCTCGTTAGAAATATAATTAATTTATTGTATCCATAATGCCTTCTGACGCGAAGAAACGTGAACAACAACGTAAAAAAGAAGCTGCAAAAGCTAGACAAACTGGCAAGAAAACTGAGATTAAGCCTAAAGATGAAAAAGAAGAACAAAATGATGTTTCTAAAACCAATGGTCATGGCAACTTAACAAATGGTGTTACTGAACTGAGTGCTGAAGGTAATAAATATTTATTTTTTTACACTTATAATACTCAGATTTTATGTAAATGAATTAGGTGAGAATTATATTTTCATTAGAGTGTTTTTTGACAGTGTATAACAAAATTGTAAATAGGTGTTGACCATATGGTTTTTAAATATCAATGTACTGTAAACTGCTTTAAATTTTTCATTAAAAAAAAACATTGTACATATGTACATAAGCTATAATCAAATAGTATTTTTAGGATTACCTTTTTTTTAATTTTAAAAATTAATATAAGATCAATTCATAATTTTTTTAGACATGAATTTTTAAAAAAGTCACATTTCTAGATTTATATGTGGCAACATTGTCCAGTAATTGCAAGGAATTATGCCAGGGTCTAATACCAGTGACTGGAAAGACATGGCTTATTGTAGTTTTTATTGAATTATAACTATTAGTTGTAGTTTTGCAAAAAGAATCTAATTTAAAAACCTTTTGGGTTCATGTACTTGTTTTTTCATTTTATGATAATTCTGATATTTATGAAAGTAATAGTTAGGAATTAGGGGTTACAACTTTGCCACATATCAAAGTAATGACAAAATACTTAAATTATAAAGATCACTGGTTTCTTTCTTAATTTTAACATCATTGTTTTCAAGATACATAAATTTGTTTTTTTTTTTTTCATATATTTTAGACACTTCATTACTTTTCTTTTCGTAGGAAAATGTCCCATTCAACTATATTTGTTTTTTTTTAATGTTATAGAGGCACTGTGTGCTAAACTGGAATCTGATGCACGTCTAAATGCTGATGCTCGTGCCTGTACAGGCTCCCTGGCAGTGCATCCAAAATCACGAGATGTAAAAATAGATACTTTTTCAATTACTTTCCATGGATGTGAAATGTTGCAAGATGCATTGTTAGAATTAAATTGTGGTAGAAGATATGGTCTCTTAGGTTTAAATGGTAGTGGAAAATCCACTATACTGGCTGTTCTGGGTAACAGGGAAGTCCCTATTCCTGAACATATAGATATTTTTCATTTAACTAGAGAAATGCCTGCCTCAGATAAAAGTGCACTTCAATGTGTAATGGAAGTAGATGAAGAACGGGTCCGTTTGGAAAAGGTATGAAATCTTTGGTTTAAAGAGGTTGACTGTCTATCTTTTATAATATAAGAAAATAAAATAGTAACTTATGTCAAAAATAAAACAAGTGTTATATATCTGATTCCTTTTCTTAATTTAGTTAGCAGAACAACTAATTGCTTGTGAAGATGATGAATCTCAGGAACAGCTAATGGACATCTATGAACGTTTAGATGACATGTCTGCTGATACTGCCGAAGCTAGGGCTGCTAATATTTTACATGGTCTTGGTTTTACTCCAGAAATGCAGAACAAAAAAACTAAAGACTTTAGTGGAGGCTGGAGGATGAGAATAGCTTTGGCTAGAGCTTTGTATGTTAAACCCCATTTGTTGTTACTCGATGAACCTACCAATCATTTGGATTTGGATGCTTGTGTATGGTTAGAAGAGGAGCTCAGAAAGTAGGTTTTTTTAATTAGTACTTTTCTAGTTTCATTTATAATCTCCAGGACATGCTGCACATTTTATATCATTACCCTATTGTTTATAGTTACAAGAGGATATTGGTTTTGATATCACATTCTCAAGATTTCTTAAACGGTGTTTGTACAAATATAATACATATTAATAAAAAAAGGCTCAAATATTACACAGGTAATTATGATGCCTTTGTTAGAACCAGGATGGAACTGTTGGAAAATCAAATGAAACAATATAACTGGGAACAAGATCAAATCAATCACATGAAGGTGAGTTTCTATTTTCCTGCAATACCTTCAATGTTCTTTAATAATTTGGCATACATTTTTAGAATTACATTGCAAGATTTGGTCACGGTTCTGCGAAACTGGCTAGACAGGCACAGTCCAAAGAAAAGACTCTTGCCAAGATGGTGGCTCAAGGTCTTACAGAAAAAGTATCCACAGATAAAACGGTCACCTTTTACTTTCCAAGTTGTGGTACTATTCCACCTCCTGTTATTATGGTTCAAAACGTTAGTTTTAGATACAATGACAAAACACCTTGGATTTACAAAAATTTGGAATTTGGTATTGATTTAGATACTAGGTTGGCACTCGTCGGTCCCAATGGTGCTGGAAAAAGTACCCTTTTGAAATTATTGTATGGTGAAGTAAGTATTCATTACAATTCACTTTTATATTATAGGGAAAGTATTATTTGACAGGATTGGCAACATTGTAATTATTTACAGAAAAAAAAATGGCCATGAATTATTGAAATGAATGGTAATATTATGACAAATTACCCAATCTCCTATCATCCTACCAAATAAAAGTACTGCTTTTTTAATTATAAGAGTTCTTGTCAAATGTTAATGAATGTTTTCAGTTAACTCCAACAGAGGGTATGATAAGAAAAAATTCTCATTTACGTATAGCCCGTTACCATCAGCATCTGCATGAACTTTTAGATCTAGATCTATCCCCATTGGAATACATGATGAAAGAGTTTCCTGATATTAAAGAAAAGGAGGAAATGAGAAAAATTATTGGGCGATATGGGCTTACAGGGAGACAACAGGTAAATAAATAGCAATAAAAATTAATTGACCACTTTTAGTTATATATTCAATAAGTTTGCAATTAATTTGTAAAGTTTAGTGATTATTATGTTGTAGAGAAATTCCAAAATTATATTCCTGATCAATTCTAGACAGGTCTTAGGACAATAGTTATTAATCTTTATAATTATTCTATTACTGTAATCCATATATATACAGGGTTCGCTATTTATTTATAAGAAAGTTTGGAGAATTTTTTTTTTTTTTTTGTAAAATTCTTGTTATATATGGATACAATCAATTTTAGACAATTCTTAGGGCAATATTTAAGTTATATATGTACATATAATTGCTCTATTGGTGTAATCCATATCTATCTATACATGGTTTGCTATTGATTTGTAGTTGAGAAAGTTTGATGAATTTTTTTTTTGTAAAAGTTTTCATAAATTATTCTGGATTCATTTCTAAAAAATTCTTAGGTCACTATTTATGAATTTCTTTATTGCTGCAATCCATATCCCTACAGGGTTTGGTTTAAAAATAAATAACATTTTGTCTTTTATTTTGAAGGTGTGTCCAATTAGACAGTTGTCTGATGGTCAGAGATGTAGGGTTGTGTTCGCTTGGCTGGCGTGGCAAGTGCCCCATTTGCTCCTACTTGATGAACCTACCAATCACTTGGATATGGAAACCATTGACACTCTGGCTAACGCAATCAATGAATTCGAGGGAGGAATGGTGCTAGTTAGTCACGACTTTAGATTAATCAGCCAGGTAAATATATAAATAACATTATTGTACTCAATTTTGCTTTGAGTTCGAGAACTAAAACAGTTCCAAGGGTCTAACAATTATCTATTCGTGGGTGAACAATTTTTTTTAATTTAGGTTGCAGAAGAAATTTGGGTGTGTGAAAAGGAAACGGTTACAAAATGGCAGGGAGGTATTCTTTCCTACAAAGATCACCTGAAAGCAAAAATTTTAAAGGAAGCAGCCAATACTGTGAAAACTAGAAAATAATATTTTATCTCCTTAGAACTTGAAGCAGTACTTTTGGCAAAAGGTCAGAAGTCATTGAAGAAAGTTTAATTCTATTATTATATTGGATAGCAACCATGTTCAACTTTAAAAATGGAATAGATGCTACAGTACAGTATGGTGAAACAGCTTTATACAATAAAGCAGATTTTTGTCTTTAAATATTTTAAAACGTTTTCTTTTTCATGTTTCATTGTACTGTAAATAGATTGTCTAGTGTTGTTTGATTATTCACTATTTTCTTTTGCTTTGGTACCAGTTATTATTTTTAGGCTAATTTCTGGACATGGGATAAACCGTTTTTCTATCACACTCTTATATACAAACGCAATAAATTAAGACAAATATATATTTTTTGAATGTAACTTGACAACTTTAGTATTTTTATTTTATTAGAAATATGTCTAGAAATTGGCCCATATAGGGAGTGATTAGAATTATGCTTTTTTTATACACTAGAAAATAACGTCACTTTTTCTAAACATTTGACATCTTCAGACCTACACTCTTGTCTTGTTAACATTAACTTCATGATCAATAGGGTCGCCTCGAAACATCAATGTGATAAAAAAGTATGTAAAAAAAAAGGAAATAAAATATATTAAAATTATAAGTATTTTTATTTAAAATATCAGAGAATAAGACCATTAAATAACAATTGTTGCTTTATATGAATATTGTCAAAGTTAACATAGTGTTGAAATATTTTTTCTTAAAATGGACAGGGAAGAATTAACACTTACAAAGGGGTACTGAGATTTAATGCATTTGAGATTTTGTTGACTGTCTCTTGATGTAGTGATGCATCCATCAAAAACTACAAATAAAAATAGAATGTAGTATTTCATTTGTATAAGTTTGTGTCATCCAAAATATTCCTTTCAAAAAGCTAAAAGGGTCTACTTTACTTGCAACCAAAGATTTATTTACAGTACTTACACCCATATGTTTATCCATCTCTTCTAAAGACTTTTCTATCCATAACAGCCCTCTTTCTTTATGACCACATTCGTATTTTACAAGAAGCGCAAGATGAGTAACGGCCAAAGTTAGAGCTGCAGCCCTGGCTTCCAAAAGTCTAGGATCAAGAGGTGGATACATACTTCTTACCATATCATCTACTCTGCTTGATATTCTTTTTGCACACTAAAATGACAGGAATTCATCACAAATCAATTATTTGAAGACTTAATTGGAAAAATTCAGTTTTATTAATTAATGTGTTACCTCTACAATTTGTTTGAAATCTCCAGACAATGGGGTAGAGCTCATAGCCAAAGTTGTAAGTCGTTCCGTGAGGTATCTGCATGTTTTTAAAATAGCCAGGCAATGAGGAATAAGTCCAGTCGCATCATCTATCCACTGTTCGTCTGTCAAAATATCTTCAAAATTTGTACTTACTTCACCTAATTCCCATTCGGATGCATCTGATCCAATAAGTTGTTTTTCTGGTCTGTAATTAATTGTTTAGTGAATTAATAGTTTAAGCCCTCAGAATAATTAAAATATACATGCATAGACCATTATCACAAAGATGTATTACTAGCTGTTGGAAAATATATTTTAAATTCACTTATTTTTCCTCTTAGCATGGCAAAGTTTAGGAGACATTGTTGTCAAGTCAGCACAATTCCTTGATCCTAAATACATACAAGGTTGAATATATTTTTTGTCACTTTTTACCTTGTTTTACCAACTTAGTACCCCTATTCAGTCTGATGTCCCTAAGATTATAAAGTTATTATTCATTTCCCAATATTTCAATAGGCAAAATGTTGCAAAAAAATATACTATCCCATTATTAATTGTCAAAATTAATTGTAAATATTAATTGAAAAGATTGCATATTATTATTTAAAAAAAATTGTTATTCATTTGCATAAGATATGCCAAAGAAGGCAGCAAAGTACCTACGGAATTTTGAGTTAAAATCTATGCAATATTTTTAGGTTAATTTAAGGCTATTTTTATACCCTATTCAAAAATTCAAATTAATCACCTAAAAATGTGGTTGTTATTTTTAGAGAAAAGCTTCCCGTATTTTTTAAAAATAGCATTCATTTTTTGGAATATTTTTTATAAAATTACAAGGCATAAAAATATGGCGTGGTTGTTTTCAGAACAGAACTTAAAAACACCTGAGTTGCTCTGCCGACTTTAATCCAGCAAAGCACCTTATATTTTTTAAAAATACCGTTTTTCTTTCGAAAAGTTTTATATTTCGAGAGCCTAAAAATATGGTGTAGTTTGTTATTAGAAAAAAAACTTTAAAAATCCAAGCTGCTCTGCTGAATTTGTTCCAGCAGTGCAAGTTATATTATTTAAAATAGCAATTTTTTTAGAAAAGTTTTATATTTCAAGAACCTCAAAATAGCATTAAAATGTAGTATGGTTTTTAGAAAAAAAAAAAAACTTGGTTTCAACTAAAAATTTCCAAGATGCTCAGCTGCCTTCATTGGCATGCACAAGATGGTAATTAGGTTTTTTGTTTACAGTTGAGATAGCTAACAAGTACATTATGCTTAATTTTTTTATAGTTGAAAACAGTTCAAACTAGATATTTACTTAAATAATTTCTTACCTACCTACTACTCTCGTCTAATAAAGCTGATTTATAAAATAACCTTTGTCTTCTACAAATAACAATCAGAATAACAAAAGCACTGACGAAAATTGCAGATAAGACACCAAATCCTATGGCAGCGACCATTTCTGCATATTCTGGTTTCATTTTCATCACTGTTCATTATCTAGTTTTACTTTTTTAAACAAAACATACTAAAACAGAAATGGATATGGGGTAGACAACAAAAAACAATGGTAAAAGCTATGGGGTATGGATATTGTACATCAGCAAAAAACGAACATAATTTATCTTACTATTTAGTTGATCTCCATTAGTGAAAAAACTCTTTAAATAGACTATTTAAGAAATTTATATTTAAAAACAAATGTTCAACAAGTGGGTTTATCCTGTTGTGATGGGGACTGTCATTAGCAGTGTTGCCACACCAATTAATTTTTTCGTAATAGAATTTTGAACCAAAAGGTAATAAAATCGTAATAGATAATATTTTAAAGTAACATATGCTGCGTTTGAGAATCCACATCGGATGCATTTTTTACATCTCGAGCGTTTTTTTATCCACATCGGACACATCTGTCCCATTACATTTACGTATACTGAACAATGAACTGGAGGGGGGTAGAATGCCAATGTACATGTTGTACTATTAGAACAAGGTGCGACTCGATGGGCGCAGCCATTTTTATTGTTCATCTCACTCGGGAGTATTTATAATAACCATTTTCTGTTTCACATTGTTATTGTTCAATCCACAAGCTGGTGGATCAGACAATAACAATGTGAAATAGAAACTGGCTATTTTAAATACTCCCGAGTGAGATAAAAAATAACCTATCTTCGCCCATAGAGTCGCACATCAAGTCTATTGACAAGCATTCTACCCCACTCCAGTTCATTGATACTGAACCACGTGATCAAAGATTTTTTACATCTGCTGCGTTTGAGAATCCACATCGGATGCATTTTTTACATCTCGAGCGTTTTTTTATCCACATCGGACACATCTGTCCCATTACATTTACGTATACTGAACCACGTGATCAAAGATTTTTTACATCTGCTGCGTTTGAGAATCCACATCGGATGCATTTTTTACATCTCGAGCGTTTTTTTATCCACATCGGACACATCTGTCCCATTACATTTACGTATACTGAACCACGTGATCAAAGATTTTTTTACATCTCAGATGCATCCGATGTGGATTCTCAAACGCAGCAATCTCAGATGCATCCGATGTGGATTCTCAAACGCAGCAATTAATGTACCAGAACTATTATTAAATACATTTTTCTACGTTCATGCAAAAACAAAACTTTATTGATCTATATTTAGTGAAAAAACTGGGTCTTTATTGCACTAGTGCAATAAAAATTTTATTGCACTCATCTGTCATTTTACTACAGCGTTTTATGATCATGACAAACATAAATATTCAAATCAACGCCAAATATTTAGTCCATTTTCATTTTCTGTGTTACGTTTTAAAAACAATTGCATATTTTATATTATTTTCAATCATTTAATAAATAAATTAATAAAAAAATGTATTTTATTAAAAATGTCATTACAAATTATGAACACAAACGTAAATAAATGCCTCAAACAAAGGTACACGATCACGGCTACTATTGCCGCGTTTGAGAATCCACATCGGATGCATCTGAGATGTTGTGAATTTTTTATCACGTGATAGAGAATTAGATCTGAATGTAGATGTAATAAACAAACGCTCTAGACTTTATTTGGTCACGTGACAAATGTCAATGACAAGTTAGAAGTTTATACTTATTAAATTTGACTTTTGAGACTACAAATCAACCTAAATTTGAAATATAAACAAAAATTAAGCAAACTAATCACTTTTATATTCATGCTAGCATAAACAAAGGAAAAATTGACAAACAAGGCTTCACAGAACACTTACTCTCTAGCATGGAACAAACATCTCATTCACATCTCATTTCAAATCGAGATGTAAAAAATGTAATCTGAACAGGTACATCTGGGATAAAAAAACGCAGATGTAGATGTAGTAGATGTGTCCGATGTGGATAAAAAAACGCTCGAGATGTAAAAAATGCATCCGATGTGGATTCTCAAACGTAGCAAAAGATTTGGATAATGCAGCTGCAGTTCTATAAAACATTTTTTGGTTTTTGCATGAACGTAGAAAAAATATTGTATGTAACTCGTACAAAAAGTGTTTATTGCACTCGACGTGTTGTCCAACTCGGCCTGACGACTTTGTTGGACAATTTCACGTCGCGTGCAATAAACACTTACTTTTTGCACTTGTTGCATAAATAACTATTAACAATAAAAATTTATTAGTTAGTTGAGAGAAAATTATTTCTGCTGCTGCGAAAAAATGGGGTAATGAAAATAAACCACAAACTAATTTTTTTAAATTTTAAATATTTGATTCATGCAGTGTTTTTTTTATTTTAAAGATGTTAGCCCAAAAAGGGTAATTTTTTATAATTTAGTCGTTCTTCAGTCTTGAAGGGGTCTACGTTATTAAAAACAATATATAAATTATGCTGGAGGCTGGTGGTTATCCCCTACTAAACTAAAAACTGACCAATAACAAAAAAAATAATACAATAATAATAAAGTGACGCCTATCTTGGATTTATTGAAACAAGAAAACACAGAAATAACAAATGTATAGATTTCTAATTTTTTTAAGTATGGGCTCTGAAGTTTAAATGGAGCCACTCATAAAATTTTGATATTTTAAAAGGTAATAGATTTTTCCTCTTTTCTTAAAAGTCGTAATAACGTACTGGTGTAACTTTTTAGTAATAGATTTGTTACAATTAGGCATTCCAAACAAATGAATTACCAGTGGGCAGGTTTGGTATATCTAAGGGTGGCGACATATGGTGTATTCTATCTACTTTACGTAAAATCATGAATAATAGATTAGATTTAAATATTTTATGTCAAACACAATAAAAATAATATTTAAAAAACCCACCTATACACTTCTTCATAAATTGGCAGGCTTGGCGAGTACTACTTCGAATAAAAATAGCGTCCAAGTTGGAAGACTATGTCGCTACCCCCCTTAAATATACAAGAATTTCCCACTGGCACCTAATGTTTGACAGGTCGTTGAATGCCTAATTGTAATAGCAACGGCAACACTGGTCATTAGTGTCATTTGAGTTTTGTGATGTTGTGACGTAGTCACGAGTGACAGTGACGTTAGGTTAATGTCAGCTTAGTCATAATGCACAATATATCCCCTATAGTAATGTAACTGGGATTCAAGAAATGGCTTTGAGTTACGCTGCGGCCAGACACAGGTCTCATGGCGCTAGTATCGTTATTGATTTTTGACTTCGGCACGTTCATTGGTTGACGACGAATTCAAAACAATCTGATCGGAGCGTTACTCACTCCCACTCCTTCTCTTTGTTTAGATACTTATAAAAGAAAGAGATACCAGTTAATAATTTCTATTTCGAATCATCTTTCATTCTTTAGCGTTGAGTTTTTATAAGTGAAGCGTGAAGTGTCAGTGTTGACAAGTGATAATTTTTTGATTTTTTTTTCTACGAAATTTAATATTAATTTTGTTTCAGCGATATTTATTGTGATTTGTGTTGTTGTATTAAGTGCTTTCTTATTTAATATGGGAAACAAAACGTACAACAAACTCAGAAAAAGAGGAATCGAGGAAGGATTGCTATCTATGGCTGTCATCCAAGGGTCTGCGCCCTAGATAATACTTTTCCAGTAGGAAAAGCCTTTAAAATTCAAGTATAACAATTTTATGTTTCCGTTTTCCCTTCTTTTAATGTAGGTGCCAATTTTGAGGTAAGTTTGTAATAATTTTTCATATTTTTTCAGTTAATACCTACCCTCTTAATATTATAATTTAACTATGATCTTATGCTTTCCTATGGACACGATTCAAGGAGGGAGTCCTATGGCTGTCATCCAAGCCCTAGATAATAGTTTTCCAGTGGCAACAGCCTTTAAAATTCAAGTATAATAATTTACTTTTTTCGAAGTAGATGTCCATTTAAACTAAATTTTTTTATTTCACTTATTGATTTTAGCATTTATATACAGTATCGGCTAATGAACACTTTCCAATACGCTTGGCTAGAATCGAAAATAAAACTAAATAGTTAGCACATTAGTTCGAACAGGAAACGAATAATATGAATGTTGCCTTGTGTACTGTGTAATATGAACAGGCACACGGTGTGATGCATCACCACGTAGCCGGCTGGCTACGTTCATAGTATTCTATTCCTTCTCCACACTAATGCTAACTCTTTGTAGTTTTTACTTGGACATTAGCAAAACGTATTGTACAACATTCGATAGCTGCCACTGTATTATCACAAACATCTCTTAATAACTAAATGATTTCATTTAATAGTTTCTTTTTTTTTTTTCAGTAAAATGGATATGGCTAGAGTTATCTTCGTCTTTAAAATATATTAAATGTTTTATAATTTTTCAAATAAAATACTTTATACAATTTTTTGTTTTTTTACCAGAGCCAATTTTTTTTCAGATCTAACCTCTATAGGTAAAAAATAAGTGATTTAGGTAAAATTGAAAAGTATATTACATGTTCTTTTAAATGTGTTGTTAATCCAAATGCTGCTCTTATTGTAATAGCTAATAATAAAAGAATTAGTATTATTTTTAGCTATCAAAATAAAAATAGCGCCTGGATTTACAGCTCGTTTAATCGAACATGCAATATACTTCTCAATAATTATTGCCGAATGAATATATTTAAAAATTCCCGCCATTTAGCGGCTGAAAATTTACAATTTTGGCGGGAAATTTAAATTTGGCCTTTAAATTATATTTGAATTTACCGCCATATCGAGTTAGTTGAGCGGCCAGACACAGACGCATTCTTGCGCTGCAAACTTAGTGCCAACTCTTTAACAAGTGAGATGCACTACTATAGGGGATATATTGTGGTCATAATGCATGGACTTGAATTATAGGAACTGCGGGTCAGTGTTTTGGAAGTAATAACGAAATTAACTTACCACTATCCTTTTTACAAGACACATTAATTATGAATAAAATTAATTCTAATGCTGATATATTCTACACTCGATCAATAACTGTTGAATTTTATGTTTTAATTATTAATAGTGAGGTTCGTAAAGTGGTGCTTAGAAACAACAGCAAAGGTTTAAATGATGTATCGAAAAGTAGCTGCTAACCATGATATGATCGTGATATTAAAATATCCTGTAAATGAACCCTAATAAGATGCCTCTCACGTTTTTTGATATTTTTATTAGCTAAATAAATTATTTTACAAGTCATAGTTCTATAAAAAAGAAGAATAATTTGAGGTTAATTCTCGTCCTCAAGTTTTGATAAAAAAACGTCAAAAATAAAAAGTTATTTATTAAAGTAACTTGAGTGAAATGTAGATTGATTTAATTTTATCTAAAAATAAGGACGTCTACTGATTAAATATGTTTCCAGAACAAGACAAAAATAACTCTCAGAATGATACTGATGAGAAAAAATATGAAATACAAGGATATAACAATTTTCAGGACTTCATGAAGGTACTTCATTTTCATTATATATTATTTTTTTAACAGTATATGTTTATATTATTATAACTATTATAACGTATGCATGTCCACATAGAGGGTTATTGGGTTCAGATTTAGTTTTATCAGCCATATAACAATATTAGGTTTATATTAGCTTTTTTATGTTATTAGGATGGTTTCAAAACATTAATGGAAGCCATAAGGCACTCAAACAACTTACCTCAAGGTTCTGATTGGAATTTCTACAATACACATGATGGATTTGTTAAAATTATTAATGACGAAAGTACTACAGTACTAAAACAAATCAACACAATTCTACGAACTAATCAAACAGAAGGAAACATTTATCACAGAGGATTAGATGAAAAAACTGAATTAATTGTAGAGGGCAATGATAATATATTGGAGAGGGTAGCAATAAATATAGATGAAATGAATGGTATAAGAAAAACCGGCAACGCACCTATTTTAATCCAAAGTGTTAGTGCTGAGCTGCCTATCAATGGATCTTGGAATCAAGTCAATAATGCTACATTTTCAGTTACTTCTTTGGCCACACAGGTTTACTTATAATTTTAATGTCATTTGATGAAACTCATGTTATAGTGGATAATTGACACTTGCTTGTATCTTAGTCACCTTTGATTTTCTTAAATAAATTGGTATTTTTAAAATCACTAAAAATAACTTTGAAACATGTCATTTCACAACATGTGAATGTCTAGTTTGTGCCCTTCTTAAGCTGACAAAAAATATAAGTAGTCTACAAGTACGAGTCACTCAAAAACTCATTCCTCCCTATTTCGCGAGAAGCTACAAAGCAAATACTTAAACTGCTATCACTTTTAAATCTCTGCTCATTTTCAGTTATCTTATTTTTGGTTTTGAGTTTTATTTAATAAATATCGATGTTGGAAAAAATGCAAATGGAATAAAAAATAATTTTTTCATAAGTAAACAAGCCTTTCAAACACAATAATAAAAAAAACTGGGGGTCTCATGAAATTTACCCCCTTCCCCAAAAATATTTTCCATGTTTGCACAATAAAATAAAAAATTATGTGTTTATACTACAAAAAATATTTACAAAAAGACTACCTATCCCTACCCTAACATATCCCTAACCTACATAAAAAATTCATTTAGATACCCCACAGTAATACTGCCTTCATCATCATCAACTTCTGAGACTTAAATAATAAAGTACCTGAGAGTATTATAACAGTGGGATACTCTAAACACATGGGCGTCGTTACGAGAATTTGTAAAGGGCGTAAAATTTTGGTGTTGTAAAAACAAATTTGGGCCACATCCAAAGTTTTTTTAATAAGTACAAACCTCTAAAACTTTCCTTCAAAAGAATATATTAAACTTAAAACAATAATAGTCTTGTTAAAAGAGTGATATAATATTAAATACTAAAATAAAAATTCTACACTTCTGGATTATCTCTAGCAACAAAAAAATTGGAACTCTTATTGCTCATGGATCATTATTGCACCCAGTGTAGAATACATTTAAAAATTTAAATAATTCAAACATCTCTAGAAAATACAATAAATAACAATATAAACATCAACAAGGAAATTAAAAAATATGTAAGGAGAAATGCAAAACGCTCTTTAAGGAATTAAAAATAAGTAACAAATTTGACAAAAAAAAAAAAAGAGAAACAAGGATATGAACTCTCTTTTAGCGCTAGTGAAATAAATCTTGTTAACTTTCAGGGGGTGCAAATGTCCCCTCTTGCCCCCCGCCTCAAACGACGCCCATGTCTAAACATACACATAAACTTAGATGGTTGAATTTAATAATGGCTCAAAAAAATTATAGATAAAATGAGAAAAATAAAAAACTCATTAACCTAACCTGTGCAGTCTGAAGCCATCACAGGTTGCTTCGCAAATAATATATGTAAAAATCTTAAATAATCTACCTAGCCATTTAAATTTTTCTACACCAACTTTGACATTTATGAAATTTGCATCCATTGAATTCTACCTTGGGCCAAACCATAATATATGCATTATGACCATTTGAGTTCATGTGTATGTTAAGGTCTATCCCTATTGACGATCTGAACTCGTGTTGGATTAAAAAATAACCTGAGATAATGTTGACCGAATACTACAGGACCATATAAATCTTTCATTTGCCCCATGTACCTAATTATATCGTTTAAATTAATAAAATACAGTTTCACAAGAAAACCAAAATACCAAAGACCAAAGATTAGAAATATTTCAAATATTTTCTGTCACTTTTCAGTATATCACGTCACTTTACAGTATTTAATAAAATTAACAATCACAGTAAACTAATACAAAAACAGCACATCAACTGTGGTGATACATCTGAAACATATATTATGTCACCCCATGATAGTTGATCGTTGTTATAATTGTTTTTATACAGTGTAGACGAGAAAACTTAAAAAGTTATTAATTTCATTAAAATAAGAACCAATATTTTTTTTTAATTTTTAAGCTTACGTACTTCCACATTAACTAAACATTTTAGTAATTCATTTATTCACTATAAACTGCATTTATACCTCGATTTATTCCTAATATTGTTTAACTGTTCTTCTAGTTCTTTGGAGTGTTACCACTGTTATGTATTTATATATTATTTAAACAAATAGTAGTAAAATACATTATTAACACAACACTAACATAACCTCATGGTAGGTATTAGGTATTAATTCACTTAATAAAAGTCTTTCCTTCCTAATAAACATCTGATGGCTTTCCTGTAAAGTTATCAATTATATTGAGTACGGCCCATCTAATCAAAAAGTATTTAAAATACGAATTAAAGATAAAACATTTCAACATACATTTTTTCATAATTTTTGAGAAAATTTTGTTCTCTAATCATTAATAATAGAAATAAACATTAGAATAGAAAAACACCCCCATAAGGTACCCTCCCAGAGTCGGAGTATGCCCAAAATTAAATCAGCTCATCACAAGATGGTAAAGCCTAGGTTTTAAGGTTTGTACTCAACCTAGTAACCAAAAGTATCAATGGGCTAAACAACATACCAAAGTTTCAGAAAATTTGACCAGTCGTCACATTAGATAAGGTGTTTTTCTATTTGTCTATTTTTGAGTTATCCTGGAAACAGACACACAAACAGACAAACATTATCACGAAAGTGATAAAACGTACTCAAGGGTCTTCAAAACATAAAGATCCGTCAAAAACTCGATTCAAGACTTCTATAATCTCCTTACTGGTTACAGGAAAGTAAAAAACTAGGTATACATTTTATAGGAATATTTAATAAACAGTTTTTATTGTCACATCATTTATTTAGTAGGGATGAAAAGTTTCCAGCCTAAGCAAGAAAAAAAGCAAAATATGGGTTAAAAACTATTTTTATTTTTCTACATGGTCTCCGTGTAGCCCAATACACTTATTCCATCTGTGCTCAAAAGCCTTTATGCCATCGCTGTAGGCTGATTTGCCCAGTTCTTCAAAATAGGCGTTTTTGGCAGCAATATGTCTAAATCCAAAGCACATTTTTTACCAACAAGAAATTTTTTCAAATTAGGAAACAAATGGAAATCCGTTGGAGCCAAATCTGGTGAATAAGGCTCATGCAAAACCAGCTTGAAGTTTATGATCAATTTTTGCCTTGACAATTGGTGATTTGTGACAGGGCGCATTGTCCTGGTTGAACAGTATTTTATTTTTACCAAACAGGAATGCTTCTCATGAATATGTTGCTTCAACTGGCCAAGTAAGTTGATGTAATACTCGGAATTTATTGATTTTCCTTTTTCAAGTTAGTCTATAAAAATAATGCCTCTGGCATTTAAAAAATTGTTGCTATAACCTTGCCTTTTTTCGGAATTGGACCGTTCTTCACTCTCCACTTTTGATTATTGTTTTGTTTCTGACATATAGTGGTATCAGCTATTTCATCAAACTTCAGTTGGCGATCATTCAAAACAATTTTATAAACTTTCTGTACAATTTCTTCAGACGTTGCCGGTTTTGGCCTGATCAGAATGCAGGACATCTGCAGTGCTTGTACAACCAGGTTTAAAGTCTACAACTCAAGTTTTAACCGTGAAAAATGAAGGCGCTGACTCACCTAAAGTATCATCTAAATCTGTAATATGGAAATATTTTATTACTGCACGTATCTCCATTTTTCCATGCTTGACAAAACGTAAAACTTTTTAACTGTAAACCCATGATATCTCGTGGAGTTCGCACATGACGTTTTGTTGTGTGGAATATGGTTATTTGATTGGCCATGAGCTAATTATAATTTATTTTCGCGCTGATATGTCAAATTCATAAAAGCCCCGCCTTCTACCACATTACGTCACCGTGACGTGTAGTATCAATCTGCGTAATATCTTACCTTTTTTTTATAGTATCATGACTTTAAACGACTGTAAAATATAAACCACTTGACGTGCTCTATCCAAACTTGGATGGAGCTGTTTAAATATGTAGTCATATGACCTTTCATCACATACAATTACAAATTTTATTATGTCACGGCTTAGGTAGTTTATTGCAAAAACAATAAAGGGTTTTTTCTCTTCCAGAAACCGAAATTCGTTTCTATTTATTAATATACATACATATAAAGTTTGTCTCTACAAAGGACAGTCTTTGATCAACACATTATTATTGTTTGTTATCTTGATTGTCAGTTTATATGTGTGTTGTATGGTGCCTTTTATGTTTTCTAAGGCTCTTATGCTATACATATATATTTTTTAAATACTAATAGTCTATTAGCATTTTAATTTTACAATAAGTACATGCAGAACTTTTTTTTTACTTATTTTGTATACCTGAAAGTGTCTGTACAAGTACGATGCTTGGGCAAAGAGAAAAATGTCACAATAGAGAAGGCCCCACACTAGGCATTTACCCAAAATTCATTTTGAACATATTTTACTTATTTTTATCCAAAACCGCTTTTAAGCCCACAATACAAAAAATAGGCAATATTGTCCATTATGAATATCGTTTGACTCTTCTGTAAATAAGCCTGATATAATTATGTTTTGTAGGGTAAACCCAAAAATAAGGGTAGTGTAATGAGACTACTGACAGCTAAAAACATTATTAGACCTCAAACATTTTTTAAAGACAAAATTATAAATAGCAGCAGTTTTCCTTGGGAGCCTAGGATTAAAGACAAACCAAATTCCTTGAAACCTTTGGCGATATTTTTAGAAGAAACCCAAAATGGGGAAGAGTAAGTTTTTTATATAAAATTTTAATAATAGTATATATTACATTATAATATACAATTATATATATTTTTAGATATTCCCATCCTTATGAGTTTGAATTAGAAAGATTCACACCTTCTCCTGAGCAATTGTTAACACAAACACCCATCAAACCTCTCCCCATTGAAGTTACTCCTCTTATAGAAGTATCTGAACCTCATCAGTTAGACGATCTGCTAAATGATTTGCGGAACTGTAAAGAGTTTGCTGTCGACTTGGAACACCACTCTTACCGAACATTTATGGGAATAACTTGTCTTATGCAAATATCTACTAGAGAAAAAGATTATCTCATCGACACACTTACATTAAGGGATACATTACACGTTTTGAATGAAGTTTTCACTAAACCTACAATTTTGAAGGTAATAAATATGACGATGCAATAATAATATTTTACGTAACCATAGTTGTAAGTATTGTGCATTACAATATGAATTATGTTTTGAATTATTAATAGGTTTTCCATGGTGCAGACAGTGACATTCTGTGGTTGCAACGAGATTTGTCCATCTATGTTGTTAATATGTTTGACACTTATTATGCAGCCAAAAAACTAGAATATTCTGGTCTCTCTCTGGCTTATTTAATGCAACGATTTTGCAATTTTGTTCCTGATAAACAATTTCAATTAGCCGATTGGAGGATGAGACCATTGCCTGATAACTTAAAATGTTACGCCAGAGAAGATACCCATTATCTGTTGTATGTTTATGATATGCTTAAAAATGAGCTATTGTCACGTACAAACGGTCATAATTTATTATTGTCAGTTTTCGATAGTAGTACTGAAGTTTGCAAAAAGGTGAGAGATTATGATGAACATTTTTTTCACCTAGCCAAATTGCTTGTTATTTTTTTTTAGAGATACTTTAAACCTGTGTTAAGGGAGGACAGTTATTTAGATTTTTACAGAAAATGTAAAAGATTGTTTGACAATAGACAACTGTATGCATTAAAAGAACTTTATAGATGGAGGGATGAAATATCTAGAAAGGAAGATGAAAGTACAGGGTAGGTATAGTTTTAATAGTTATAAGAGAAAATCACTATAAAACATTTTTCTATAATTTCTGAAATAGCTTGTATATCAAACGATATTTTTAAACAATACCATTTGAATATTTCTTGTTTGCAGGTATGTTTTACCAAACCATATGTTGTTACAAATTGCGGAAACTTTACCAAGAGAAATGCAAGGAATTTTAGCTTGCTGTAATCCAATACCACCTCTTGTTAGATCCAACTTATTAGAACTACATCATATTATTTTGAGGGCCAAAGAACAGTCTTTAGAAAAGGTAACAAATGAGCTATCAATTAAGTATATTTCTAAACAAGATATTGTAAAGTATTTATTTGATAGAATGGATATTTGGAATATAATCTATTCACTTTCTATTTAACACCCTGTTGTCCATAATAAAATGACACATTTCACCCTATATAATTTTTTGAAATTAAACATTTTAAGGTTATATCACCACAATCGGGTCGATTCTGTTTAATCTCGCTATGAAGCTTATTACAGAAACCATATTGTTATTAACTATTAAGTTGTTTAAATTCATATACATATTTCTGTTTTGACCGATTTAGCAATATTGGTTATTAGTTTTGTTTACAGCAATATAGTTATGAATGTGATACAAAGTCCGTAGGTATTTTAGAGCTGACAACATTGTAAATCATGTGTTTCAGATGTTTTGTTTTACATAGGTAAAAATGAAGAAGTATCTGGTTTCTGCTTGGAAATATGACAAATGTTTCTTGATTTATCATTAAATTACTATTTTTTCCTACTTTTTATAATTTAATAGTTATTAGTTATCATTTCAATTTGTTTATTTTTTGATATAGTTTTACTAAATTCGGTAAACATTTTTGGTGTCATAAGATACACCAATCAGCAAAACTTTACCAGTGGCGTACGACACTGTCTAAAAACTTATTTGGATTATACTTTTATATTGTTTGATCTTTTTACAGTAAATCATGTTCTCTTGTTGGGAACTCATAAAGTGAGTGATTTTCGAGATATTCATACTCGAAGGTGGATATTCTTCATTTTAACTTATTTTTTAATTTTGGAATTTTTTATAAATTCCCAATAAGAGTACATGATTTATTTAAAAAACTTGAAAACATTCAAAATTATAGTCCAATAAGTTTTTGGAGAGTGGTGTAAAATTTAAAAGGGATGAAGGTGTTATTTATGCATGCCGTACGCCACTGGCAAAGTTAATTTAATTGTTTTTTGTTTGCTGATAGGTGTATCTTTTGACACCAGAAACGTTCGCTCAGTATAATTTTATAAAAAAAATCCAAAATTAAAAAACAAATTAAAATTAAAAATATTCACCTTTGAGTATGAATATCTCGAAAACCAATCAGTTCACAACAAGAGTTTATGATTTATTTAAAAAATATCAAATAATGTAAAAGTATAGTTCAAATAAGTTTTTGGAGAGCGGCATTTAGTGGAGATGACGGTGCTACTTATCAATGCTGTACGCAGCTGGCAAAGTTTATTTAACTGATTGTTTTGCTGATATGTGTATCTTATGACACCAAAAATGTTTATCGAATTTAGTAAAATTATACTGAGAAATAAAAGAATTATAGCTAGTAATAATTGTTGAATTTTCAACTTTAACACACTGCATTTCTGAAACCAGCTATATTTTATCTAAGCATGTTTCGTTTAATCGTCTTATTTTTAATCAGATAATCTTCAGTTGTTCTGTATCACATTCTTAATGAGACACACCCTGTATATCTACTCAACTGCCTACAAGAGAGTAAAAACATTCAATAAAAATGTTTCCCTAGTCGCTAGATATCAAGCTTGTAGAGCATGATATATTAATAAATGACAGATCATATTGTTGAAAAATTGACAATAAGAATATGGTAATCTTGCTATCGTGGCAATCTTTTGAAATTAGACTCCACAAAACACTTATTTCTACTTTATGTTCGTGTTTCTTATATTATGCCGTTCAGTTTCTTTTTAAATCGAAGGTGGCAATGGAAATTTGACACATTTCACTATTTTTTCTAGGCTATGTATTGTGGCATGTCATTTTTATCATTTGAAGCAGCGTTAACAAGTTCTCTTATGTAAACCATATATAAATGTCATTAGATTGACTGCAAAAATCGTATAACTGATAATTTAAATGTGACCTTATCTCAATTTTGGATATATAGTGTGTTTACTTGTACAAATATTTATTTTAAATTTTTAAAAAAGTAATTCTCATAATTTATTTTTCTTGTTAAATAAATACGAATTATGTTGAGAAACTTCGATTTTGTTGTACAGGGTACAGGGTACAAAAAATACAACAATTGTGATTTGCAAAATTCAAAATGAAACTTCATTTGGCTTTTCGATTTCTCCTTACAAGCTCTTCATTTGAGCACTTGAAAAATAAAATTTTATTAAAAAGCCTTGTTATTTATTTTTACATTATATATTGGTATTTTTCATTATCTTTGTCGGAAATATTGCATTAAAAAGTTATGTTTCGTTATTTGTGTATCAAACCTTTGAAATATCACACGTATTTCAAAATGAAACAGTAACATTTATTATTTTTTGTTTATTAAGATGAAAAACTTTTTTATTAGTAGGGTCGAATTATTTACAAACAATCAACCATTGTAAGCTGAACTTGAGTTTCTTATTTCAGGAATGAAAATTGACAGAAAACCCCAACTGGGTGTTAAATAAAAAGTCAATATATAATACTTATTTATTTCTCGTTCAAACAATTCGCTGTTATTTGTATTATTACTTATTACCATGAATTATTAGGAAGATATGAAATATATTTATATTGCTTAAAAAATGAAAAAAAATATTTGACAATCATAATTTTGACAGTTCAATATGTATATTATAAATATAATATCAACATATGCCAACGTGACGTCGCGATTTAATTATTTGTTTAGCCGATTCTTCAAGAAGACACGAGAGCTAGGGGAACCACAAAGAAAATGTCGAAAATAAATGTGGACAGTCAGTTAAATTGTCCACATGATTTGACAAAATCTAGTGAATTTAGAGATGACTTACCAACGATTCTTGGAAAGGCACTAGAATCTAATATTTCGGCACTAGTGGTCAGTAAACTTGAAAAAGAATCAACAACACCTAAATGCTCAGTTTTCAACACTCCAGACAATTCCGATGATGATGAACAGGTAAAGATTTTCCTCATACTAATATTATCATCATAGTATATTCTTTAAATAATAAACTTATAGAGAATTAAGGCTAGAGAAAAGATGCAGACTTTCAAATTTTTGGGCCCTTTCGAGAGATATAAATTAGTTAGACCTTACATTCAAGCTGAGGAAGAGAAACTATCCAAAGATAAAGAAGAGTCTAAAGCATCTCAAAAACCGGAAGAAGACACTAGAACTGACGAAGAAAGAATCGAATCGGTATTGCTACTTAATTTTTATTTAAAATGAGTTATATTACATTTATTTAACGTTTGTTTTAGATTCGTGAATTGTTCTTATCGTTAGCCAAAAAAACGGCACCCGATTCTGAAAATCTCGATCGTTCGTTGGTCCAAATGGGCGGTAGAAAAAGAAAACGGGAGACTTTACCTCCACCCCAATCGACGTCACACCATCCCGTGTTTTTACCCATTTCAAACAAGACTATCGAAGAAGATAATCCAAGAAAGAGAAGATCTAGTGGCGTTGCGCCAGACGACGTTAGTCCGCCAAAAAGGAAAAAACAAAAGAAACCTAAAAATAATTCGCGAAATAATAAAAATAATCCAGAGGAATTTTCTGGAACATCTCGAGATCAGGATGAACAAAACCAACAACGATTTTCTGGGTTGGTATTAAATTTTGAATTTTTTTTAATAAATTACTATTAAAACACACTTTCAAAGTTTTTCTAACAAACAGTTTTTTACGAGCTATTTTATGTTATTTTTCTTGCCACGTGACAGACAAAAGTTGTCTTTTTTGTCACATTCTGCATTTAACCACTCCCAAGTTTTTCCACGAGCGTTAATTTCAGCATATTCTGCTCTATGGTTTTGCACCAACATTCTTTACTTCATCAATCCATCTTCGCCGCGATATTTTTTTTTTTTTAGTATGTTCAGCGATAATTCTTTAACACGGTGTCCGATTTCAATGATTCTTTTTTTGTTAGAAATGGGGTACTTCAGGGGTGGTCCATATAAATTTAGTCAAAATCTAATAATTGGGTCTATGAGAAATTCCTCAAACTCTTCATTTTTCATGTATGTTTAGCGATAATGCTTTACCACCTTGTCCTATTTATATGATCCTTTTTTTGTTAGTAAGGGGATACCTCAGGGGTGGCCACATATAAATTTGGATAAGATGTGGTTACGGCATCTGCACGTTTTTGAAGTCGGTTTTTTAAAATTTTTAATTTAGATCACTTGTTTAAATCTATCATGTGTCTCAATTTCTTATTCTTGGTGTCAACCTTGTACAATTTTCATTCATATAGGGAACAAGATCCGGGGAATCAACAACACCCACAAAGCCAAAAAGGTAAAAATAAGAAAAAGAAACAACAGAAGAATAGAAACGGACCTCAAGGTCAAACAGGTAAGTATAATCAGCCAGGTTGGAATCCACAAAATCAAGGACAACTTGACAATCCAAATCAAAGAGAGCAACACGATCAAGGGCAAAAACGTCAACGTAACCGAGGTCCAAAAGATCAGCAACATCAAAATCAAAGAGGTCAAACTTCACAATCTGGCATTAGTAAAGATAATCAGAACCAAGAATTTGCTGCTTATGATTATAGTTCCGTAGATTTTAGGCAGTTCCAAGGTGGCGCTGGTACTGTTTCAAAACCACAGGAGTTTAAGAGTAATTTCAAATTTAAGGTAAGAGCATTTTTAATATCTATATTGTGTTGTTTAAGAGGTATAATGTAGTGATGATTTAAAACTGTTCTTTTTTAAGCGCAACCCATAAACAGTTATTAACTAATATTAATACACCTGTTTAACACACAAATAACGAAAGAGACAAAAATACTGAAAAATACCATTTTTTTCGAAATTCAGAAATATCCATATCATTTTGTAGAGCTAAGTCAAACGTTGTAAACCGAAAAATCGTAGAGATTTGTAAGTTCAAAGGTTAGGTTTTTGCGGCCAACATTCACCATGATTTGGATCCGAAATGTCTAATAATTTCTCATGAATTACTTTGTGCATCCACGATACACAGACTAACCGTATGTTCCTGCGCATGCAGCTGACTGACGGTGACGTCACGTGGGACAGAATTATAAACATTAAATGGGAGATAGTGTTTAAAATTCGATATTTTGTCAATTTTAGATTTTATGCAGTTACTTAAGCTTTATTGGTTATTTTGTAATATATTCGTTTACAAATATGAAGGTTTAAGGTAAACAATACTATTAAAAATATTAATTTTTCTCATAAATTATAGGTATTTTGTGACACAAAATCCATAACCTGGCCATAAGACAAGTAAAAGATATAGACTAAAAATACAAGTTTGACTCAAATTTGTACTTTCTGGGCGTAGTAGTTCTTTTGAAATCTTTTTTCTTATTATGTGAAATAAAAATAAGTGTGCAAAAACAAATTATTTATTTACAAAAAGTGAGTACACAAAAACTACTTTTTATTTGGTAAATTTAAACATTTTTTGTCAAGTTTACTTTGAAAATACTCTAAACCAATTTTCCTGTTCATTTATCTTATTCTTATATATGTTCGTGTCCTGCTCATGTATGGCATTACTTTAAAAGGACCGTTGTATTGGGACAGGAAACTACTGTTTTATCTGCTAAAATTTTTAAATACCGATTTATTTTCTTTGCTTAATGAGGCCCGTGCACCTGGTGAAATTTAGTTTCCTTTTCTTGCATTTATGTTTAAGAGAAATCTCACAACTACTTTCCTCAAAATGGATAGGGCAATTTCAATTAAACTTGTCCTTTCTTCGATAAGAATTTACCCATATTTTGTGGCATTCGGAAATATCTCCACTGCGCAGCCCGGCATTTTTAAAATTAATTTAGTTCTTCCCTGTTATATATAGGAAAATATAGTCACTACTAACACAAAAACATATAAATTATTAAATTATTTTACACTACTCAATCGAAAAGTGTCAAAATAACTTGAAAGGTCGTCCCGCATTACGTTATGCCGGTTTGGACGAATTTTGAATCGAAAGTCAGCATACCTTTAGTATGTGTATCCTGTGTGCTTCAATATTATATTTAGGCGTAATACAATCTATATAATACATGTATTATTTTTTTTATTTATTATAGGGTAAAAAGACAGGTGCAAACAGGGGTAACAATAGATCGTCCACAATTGGAACAGCACCTAGAGGGGGCGGTAGAGGAAGGAGCAATAGGGGAGGGGGAGGCGGCGGAAGAAGCGGGAGCAGTAGGGGAGGAGGAGGAGGCGGCGGAAGAGGAAAAGGGAGAGGTCGTTGATTAAAATTTAGAAAATATTTACCTATTGTTTTTTATTGAGAATTGTTTACATTTTGTACATTTTCTTGAATAAACGTTTACAAAGAATAGTAGTTTGTGCAACAAGAGTGGATTTGATGGCCATATCGCACGAAGACGAAAATTGAGAACGACGCCGTAGGCGGAGTGCTCTATCGTCTGAGTGATTGGCGGATTTCATTTTTTTGCAGAGTTCTCACTACCTAGAAAGGATATGAAATATATTCGTTCAGTTGAAGTTAATAGCTTACTTTTTCGTTTTGTAATCTGTGCATAGATATAGTAATATCCATGTTGGTGTAGAAAAAATAATTTTTTTATCAGATGTAGACCCGCATAAATCGAGAAGAATATATAGATCACGCTGTACACATGACGGATTTGCGTTCTCGATAGTTGTTTGTATTGTGACGAAGCCACTAAATTTTATTATAAAAATGTTTAGTTCAAGTTAATTTCCGCCTGTTAGCATTCTTTAGGACCCGTACAATTTTTATTTCTTGAACATTAGAAAATATATAATTCTTTACCGAAATTCAAGTCCAGCTGGTCATTTTCGCAGGTGACAAAAAGGACGTTTTTTCAGTCCTCTGGCTTGTAAACACTGGCTACTTCCTCTCAGAACTAGTCTGATCGTAAGGTATAAAGCCGTGATTCCACCGAGTTCAATCTTTTTTCCAGTGCGAGTTTCCAATTTTTTTTTTGTAGCACCGTTACCGTTAATACCATAGTTTTTTTATTTTCACCTTATGTGCGAAAACTGGTACTTAAAGATCTTGGATATAAGAGACCAGAGATATAACATACACCGGTGTTTAACCTGTGCAAATGTTGCCAATTTCTAAAGAAAGGTTAACGGAGTGGGGGAACTGGGCGGCGACCCGAACTCTGTGACAAAGACCGGACTTTGTTTATTAGCATCATAATGAACTATTAGATTTATTTAAAAGATGTTTAATGGAATTTTGTATTATGAAATAAAATTAACGTGATTTTTTAATATCAAACAGATGCCACGACATTTTATGTAAAGAGAAGAATATTTCGTTAGCGTTTATTTACTACGGACTTTTCTGCAAGAGATTACAGTAAAATGTTGAAATAGAATATTGTTAATAGAGCAAGAAATGGTACTCATTGTCTACGAGTATTATAAAAAAAGCATGTGCGCAGACGAATACTGCAAATCAAACCTTGTGAGTTGAACATTATATTTTTTCTACGGCTATTATATAATATTAAAAATTAGTCAGAATGAGAAAATGCTGTTTTGTATTGTAACCTCAGAAAAAAGTATATTAAAGCTTCTTTCTTTAGGAATATTAATTAATATAGAGGTTGAGTCACATAAAACTCTAGAAATGCATATGTCTGAAACCAGATAACATTTTAAAATTTAAACCTATTAAAAGTCATTTGGTCGCTAGGGGTGGGTGATTATCAAAATAAATTATCGATCATTGAAAATAATCGATTATTTTCAAACAATCTATTTTTATGTCGTATTTCCTTTAAAATCGACTACTTGATTATCTTTAAAAAATAAAAAATAATCGATTAATTAAAAAGCCAATTAACCGATAAATCAGTGTTTACAAAAAATAATAAAAGAATTATCGTTTATTTTAAATAATCGATTATTTTCAAATAATCCATTTTTTTCGTCCATTGAAACAGATTATTCGATAATCTTTAAAAAATCGAAAATAATCGATTAATAAAAAATAATCGATTAATTAAAAAGTCGATTAACTGATAAATCGATTTTCAAAAAAAAAAAAAAAACAGAATTATCGATTATTTTCCATCAAATGATTATTATCAATAATCTATTTTTATTGTATTTTCTTTAAAATCGATAATTCGATTATCTTTGAAATACCGAAAATAATCGATAATTCCAAAATAATCGCCTAATCGAAAATAACCAATTAATTAAGAAGCCGATTCTACGATAAATCGATTTTCCAAAAAATAACCGAATTATTGATTATTTTCTAATAATCCTTTTTTTTTCATATTTCCTTTAAAATGTATTATTCGATTATCGGAAATAATCGATAAATCTAAAATAATCGATTATTAAAAAGCTGATTAACCGATAAATCGATAATTTAAAAAAAATAACCGAAATATCGATTATATAAAATAACCGATTATATTCGATCAATAGATTATTTTCATTGTCTTAAAAAAACGAAAATAATTTATTAAAAATAACGTATAAATCGATTTTCATAAAAAAATAACTGTATTATTGATAGATATTAATTTTTTTTATTTTCTTTTGTAAACATTTTTCATAACTAAAAAAGGGTATCCAACTGCTCAAATGTGGTCATCTTAAAGGTAAGAAATGACTCAAAATCAGTCCCACATAAATTATATTTATTTTCCAGTTCGAGTTAGGGATTATATCCCTTTTTCATTACCTTTATACCTGGCCCATGCGTTTCCGCAGTTCGAGTGCGTCCGAACTAACTGTTGAAAATCTTTTTCCTCTATTTTTATGTCACTAAAAAATATTTTTTTTTATTAATATTTTTATAGAATATTTTTCTCAAAATCACTGCAAGTACTCTTACGAGAGGAAATACTTGTCTCTTGTTGTTTGTAATCCTGCCTTCAAAAAATAGTTGGCACTTCTAAGGAGATAGGTATATGAGTTTTTGGTCTATGAAAAACTGTCTAAGAGTCATTCCGTTAATGCTGATTTAAATGCACATTCACGGTTTTCATTCTTATGTCTTTCGATTTTTTTGTTAGTCTGTTGTTGGTATTTTGTTTTCTTTTTTGGTGATTTGCCCGTTTGTTCTTGGTATTTGTTTTTATTTTCTGGTATCCATTCAGCGTTTTCTACTTTATGTCGTTCGAATTCTTTGTCTGTCTGCATTTGGTATTTTGCTTTCTTTTCTAGTGTCCATTTAGTATTTTCGGTTTCATGTCGTTCGAATTATTTGTCATTGCGTTCTTGCTATTCTGATTTATTTTTTGGTGTCCATTCTGTGTTTACGTTTTCATGTCGTTTGAATCTTGGTCCGCAGGTTCTTGGTATTTTATTTTCTCTTCATACAAAAGTCTATCGTCTTGAGTCAATTTCTGTTCATGGTCTTTTCTTCACAAATTCCCATAACCGATTTCTCAATTGAAATCTTTTTCTACTCTTGCGGTCCAATCGCCGTCGCATTGCCTACAAACTTTAGTTTCATATCTCAAAAACACTGCAAGTACTCTTACGAGGGGAAATATTTGTCTCTTGGTGTTTGTAATCATGCCTTCAAAAAGTAGTTGGCACCTCTAAGGAGATAGGTATCTGAGTTTTTTTTGGTTTATGAAAAACTGTCTAAGAGCCGTTCCGTTAATGCTAATTTAAATGCCCATTCAGGGTTTTCATTCTCATGTCGTTCGATTTTTTTGTTCGTCTGTTCTTGGTATTTGTTTTTATTTCCTGGTATCCATTCAGCGTTTTCTTCTTTATGTCGTTCGAATTCTTTGTCTGTCTGCACTTGGAATTTTGCTTTCTTTTGTAGTGTCTATTTAGTATTTTCGGTTTCATGTCGTTCGAATTCCATGTCCTTGGGTTCTTGTTATTTTGATTTCTTTTCTGGTGTCCAGTCGTGTGTTTTTGTTTTCATGTCGTTCGAATTCTTTGTCCGCAGGTTTTTGGTATTCTGTCCGTTTTCATTTCTGGTGTCCATTTAGTGTTTTTCTACATATTAATGTAATTTGTCAAAATTTTGTACGATTTTTTTCTTAGCCGTTTTCGCCAATTTAGAACGCAACAGCATACGATTTTCAAGTGATGAAGTTGGGATAGCGGCAGATAAGAAAAAATTTGGAGAGGTACGACTTGTTTGTGAGTCTTTTCCTGAACAACAGGTCAACTACAAGAGCTGGCGACTCAGCAGTTCCTGATGCATAAAAATGTTATGAATCAACATAAGGAACTTAATAAAACTATTGAATTTGATGCATCCACCCCGAAATTCTGTTCCCTTAGCTGTGGTGGCCGTAACGAGTTCAAAAACTGTACCAGGCAACATCGTAGTAGATAATTATGCCATTACCACGGCACATTAGAATTCTTCTGCAGAATCATCGGGAGATACGGGTAAGAACGTTCCTATTATTATTTGTACTATAATTTATTAATCAGTTTATTATTGACTTATTGTTTCTGATTAATATATTTGAAGGGCTACTGCAAAACCATCAAAGTCCATTTTTTGGTGATTTTGAGTTCTCAGCGCCATCTTTTGGTGTTTAAGCTCTAGAATCATGTGAGAAAATAAAACATTAAAAGACCATCACGGTTCCTTTGAAATCGTTTACAGAAGATCGGGCATAGAATGCAATAAACTTCAGTGTCCATATATTAATTTTATTCTCCTTAAAAATATGGTTTCATAGAACTTGATGGTTTTTGTTGTGGACCTCTCACGTTTATTTTTATACTTATACTGTGTGTTTTTTGTTTTAGATATCACATTCTTTATTACGTCTGGGGCGCAATGCTATCTTGGATTATGTAGCAGCCCGATAGTCCCAGCTACTTCATATATTTTTTAAATATTGGACTTGTTTTTTTTTAAATAAATTTATTATTTTTGATTATGCTTTTTATTGAAATATTAATTAGACCTAAAAACCTGCAAGTCAAGTTAAGATTGGTTTACGTAACTAATTTTTGCTTTATTATAGCGAATATCGATATAATAACGTAAAAACAGTGTGAAGAGTTTACTGTAGCTGAAAAATACAAAATATCTTAAGAGTACTTTTCCAGTACTAAATTGTTAATAATTTTGTGTGCTTCTAAGGCATTTTACGGTTACGGGGAATCGTATGCCTAAAAATCGTCGGCCGCCAGGACGCTGGGATGCCGGCAGTGTGGTCTGACAAAATGTCGTGCCGACACTTCAAGTTTCAAGTACTGTTCATATCTATTGTGCTAGTATTGGGCCATTCACGTGTGTTTTCTGGGACATTTTGTTGTGTGAAATTTTAGAACTATGACATTTTTTTTTTAATTTCAAGTCAGTCCACCAACAAAATGTAACAATTTCCAAATGATAAAATTACACTTCACTTGACATCCCGGCACTTCCGACTTGAAGGTTAAGTTAATAAAAGCCTGATCTACACCACACATAAAAGTTGTAATATTTTTATTGCAACTGTATAACAACTTTGACAAAAGTAGCTATTCTATTTTTCAAGCCGGGACATTGAGGCTTATATATCCATAAGTGAAATATAATTTACCATTATTGATTGTTTTGGCCATTTCTTGATAAAAATCCATATTGTTAAAATGAGAAAAATCGGACTTTCAAATTGTGGAAATTGAATTTTTTTTTGAAAAATTCGAAAACAATCAAAATCTATTTTTAACCGACTTCAAAAAAGGAGGAGGTTCTCAATTCGTCGTTTTTTAAATTTTTTTTATGTATGTTCAGCGATAATTCTTTAACACGATGTCCGATTTCAATGATTCTTTTTTGTTAGAAAGGGGATACCTACTTCAGGGGTGGTTCCATAGTAATTTGGACAAAATCTAATAATTGGGTCCATGAGAAAATCGTCAAACTCTTCATTTTTCATGTATGTTTAGCGATAATTCTTTACCACCTTGTCCGATTTCTATGATTTTTTTTGTTAGAAAGGAAATAACCTCAGGGGTAGTTCCATATACAATTGATCAGGATTTGATAATCTATGAGAAAAGAAAAAATCTCAATTTTTAAGGGCATCTGCACCATTTTGAAGTCGGTTTTTTAATTAAAAAATTATTAATCAACTTTTAACAAAAAACCTATTTTTAGTTGAATTTCCAATTGTACAAGTGGTACACAAATAAAAGAGAATATAGGAGTATTGACGGTGGTGACCGAGGTGGTGACCCACTTGGAGGGACCTCTGATCCTATTTGTGTCGATCTGTTAACTTTATATACCTCCAACAATACATCTCGACAAATTAAATGAAAACAATAGTTATGAAATACACTTTATTAGACTAAGGTTAAAATATTTACATAGCGGCCACTGCAGCCTTCAAAATAGCGAATTTATTGTTATTACAGACTCCACGGAAGTCGTCTAATGTCAAATCGTCAATTGCAATACCTCCAAGGCCTTTGTTCTTGACATATTGCGCTTTGATTGCTGCTGTCTCGGGATCTTCATAACCTATCCAGACACCTCCTTTGTCGTCCTTGTCAGGATAACGGTAGGCATACACACCTGTAAAACAGAAAATAATTGTTTAAATTTATAGAATACTTATCGGTATTTTTGCAATCTAACCTCTTCGTTTGGTGCCATCAGAAATCTTAGTTAAACCTCCTGGAGTTGTAGTCCTCGTGGTTACTTTAGTACATATTTCAGGATAACTTAAAAGACCGGCTTCTTTAGTCAATGGTCCCGGTTCTCCCGGGCCTTCCAAATCGGTGATTGGAAACTCGTCAATTTTGGCTTCGCCTTGCAAGTGCCAAGTTCTGCCGTAAGTGGGGATTCCCAGAACTAATTTGTTTGCAGGAGCGCCGTTGTTTAACCTAAAAAGATATTTGTCTGAAGGGAAATATTTTGAAAAACTTAAGTAAAAAATCGAGTTTATTTGAAGAAGAGCTTTTTGTTGCCTTGTATGTTTTGATATATATAGGAAGAGATATTTACCAATATTTAACCCAAGCGTCTACATTTTCGTCCACTCTTCTATCAATGAGTTCATATACGGGAGAAGGAAAATCTGCAAGATGTTCATTGCGATGGGGGGTGTAGAAGTCGAATGCGTGGAGAGCTATGAAGTCCAAATGTGGAGCAAGATTTCTGGGATCGTAATATACTAAAACAAATAAATCATATTAGCTTGTGCATATTATCGAAACTATTATTTAGACAGTATACTTTAAAAAATATATCAATTACCTGTACTGTTAACATTTGGCAAAACCGTAAGAGAGAGTTTTAGATTGTCTGGTCTAAAGGCAGCTTTTAGTTCTTTAACTAATGCTGTGAATTGTTCTTTGTGTTGTTCAGCGTTTGCATCAACAACGTGTTCTCCTGCGAATACTGATTTAAAGCTGTTCCACGCTTTTTCTAAAAATATTTATAAATAAGGAATTTAGAACACACATTTTAATTTTAGAACTAGAGATAGACAATTTGGTGAAGTAGGTACTTACTGAGACCAGTCTTAATTTTCTTGGGTTTTGTTTCTGGGAATTCCCAAGCTAAATCTAATCCATCGAAGTCGTATCCTTTGATCAATGTATGTGCTGAATTTACGAAAGCCAAACGGTGAGTGGTGGATTCCAACTGAAATAGTTCGTGGTGTTGAAAATTACAAAAATAAAAATAGTACCTATATTTCGGAACTAGGCTGGACAGTGATATATAACTCGTTAATTCGTACAGTGGCGGCTTGTCTGTAAGAGCTGTATGCCTACAGGGGGAACCAAGTAATATAAATATAAAATGAAAATGTATTATGTTATTTACCCATACTAATTTTAATAAAAAAAAATATATTCCACGTCTATTTATAACTTTCATACGGCTCCTTGTTTTACTTGTTTCAATCATAATCTGACAGTCCATCCCAGGCGTTCAATATATTTTCTGTTATCCTATTCATTGATGTTGCTGGCTGGCAGGGCCAAGACTTGTAGCGCCTTGAATTCACGTATTCGGGCGGTCAGATCGGAAGATGTCGCTCGCCCTTATCTCATATACGAATTTTTACATGCAATAAGGCTACGAAAATTTCCGCCTTAATCCTATGTAGACAGTGAGTCTGTCGGAAATGTCCGAATAATTATCCGATTTTCGGATAATTCTATGTACCATCTGATAATTTTCGGATTAAGTAGTTTTTCAGATGATTTCGGATAATTCATTTAAGAGCAAATAAAATATTTTCTATATAAAAAATTGTATATAAATAAACGGTCTGCCTGCAATGGTCTTTTCTTTTTTTTTGTTATTTTACGAAAGAAAGACAAAATTTTGTATTTTGTGTCGGATTAAAAGTTGAAAAAATTCGAATAATTTTAGCTACACATTCGGTTAATTTCGGATAACATAAGTTTGACACAATCGGATAAATTTTATTTTGCATTGAATGAATAAAGTGTACAAAGTATTTTAAAAACTAATTTTTTGTTACTTTCGCTGGCTTAATATGCCATATTAAATCTTTGGAAAGACCTACTTCCTATTTAAAACTTACTCAGACAGACAAAAGTTTAAAAGGTTTATATAAAATACGAATTTTGATAAATTTTAATAAATTTTGACAAATTTTGATAAATTTTGATAAATTTTGATAAATTTTGATAAATTTTGATAAATTTTGATAAATTTTGATAAATTTTGATAAATTTTGATAAATTTTGATAAATTTTGATAAATTTTGATAAATTTTGATAAATTTTGATAAATTTTGATAAATTTTGATAAATTTTGATAAATTTTGATAAATTTTGATAAATTTTAATAAATTTTGATAAATTTTAATAAATTTTGATAAATTTTGATAAATTTTGATAAATTTTGATAAATTTTGATAAATTTTGATAAATTTTGATAAATTTTGATAAATTTTGATAAATTTTGATAAATTTTGATAAATTTTGATTAACTCGTAGACTAGGTCCCGAGCCACCACTGATTTCATAACGTAACTAGTGCAGAAAATATACTTATATTCTTTATTTTTTTCTACGACATATTGCGCAAAGCAAAAATAATTTGAAATCTTTGTTAAATAAAGTAGTGTAAAATGGAATGCATAACTCTGAATTTTAAGACGCTCGGTCATTTGTCATTTTGAGATTTGTGTTTTCAAAAATGTGACTTACAATGTTTCTGTACTTGACATTAAGCTCATCTCCAGATCCGGTAACATCGTCGTTTCCACCAACGGAAAGTAATACTTTAAGTTTAGGGTATCTTCTCTTAAGATCTGTGACCAGTCGATAATTGTCCTTCATAATATCGAATTGTTCGTTTAAGGGTACCAGTTTGAATGTTTTATCATCGATTGCGGCATAGCCGTAGATCAAATAGTTACAGTAACGTATGGCTTCGTCTAGATCATGTAATCCGAACTGTCCCTGCCCTAAAACGATACGAAATAAAACTTTTAAAATACAGAAAAAAAATTGAAAAAATATAAAATTATATTAATTATTAAAATAAAGAAAATAAAATAAAACTCAAAGCCATGTGTCATAATAGTACGGATGGCCGCTTTTTTGCTGAAAACAACTACTCATTTGGCTAATACCTCACTAGGCATTCAATTACATCAAAAGAAAAACAGCAGAGGTAGAAAATAATCTACCTACCTTTGATTTTGCTTATTAAGGAGAACGTCATTCTTGGACCAGTTTCGTCCTTATTTGGACTATATTTGGACTACATTTGGACTACATATTTGGGCTACATTTGGACTATATATGAACTACATTTGGACTATATTAGGACTATATTTATTTCTTATAATAATTATAAATGTTCCAGCCTCTATCAACGCCATTATTGCTTAAGTTTGGTTAAAATATCATCAAACATACAGTGGCCTGCAGATATCATGGGATACAACAAAAGATTATAATTTTTGAAATGCCTAAGTATTATGAAAGTTTTTAAAAGATCTTTTTTACTGTTTTAAAAAATATAACCTATGTTCCCTGGATTTTATACTTTTTTCGAATAATTAAACGTCGAAGATTCTTAGCTAAACCGTAGTAACTGTAATTACGGAAAAAATTAACATGATTGAAGTTATGAAAATGATGTCTTATGTTTAATAAGTGACATTTGTGTAAAATGAAACAATATATGTATAAATTGTGTTCGTTTCAATGGTTTAATACATTTATAATACCTAGATATTTATGAAATCAGTTGCGAAATGCCTTATTTTATGTAACGAGTGATAATTAGTGGGACGAGCAGAGCGAGTTGCCGCTACATGAACGAGTTACATACAATATTTTTTCTAATTTTGACTAGATTATTTATAAAATTGTGTTTTAATAAAAAATACTGATATCTAGGCAACCAATATTAAAACTTTCTTGTTTCTTGTATTGTTATAGTTCTTCCATTATCAATTGCAGAACATAAAAACTCGTTCGGAACATTTACCGACAATTTTGTTTGATCTGCCATAGGCGTAGATACCTACCTCATTTTATAAATTTATTTTATAAATACTTTTAATATATATCAAATGCAAGAAAGTATTCGTTAAAAGGAAATCGAATCATTATAAATTGGACGTTATTATAAGCCTTGATTTAGACATAATTGTAGTCTTACTTGGACTTAAAAAAAATTATTATAGCTCGTTAACTTGCTACAACTGAATATTAAATTATAAAACGTAAAAAAGCGAGTAAAGTGTACATGCCTGTAAGGGCGTTTGGTTTAAACAGGGTAGCAGACGTGAACTGAGCCGTTTTTGTACCCCATTCGTTTTTTTTTCTGGAAAACGAAATTTCAAAGCAAAAACCATAAAGGAAAATAAATTCTTTGCAAATAAAACAAAAGAAAAAAAAACAATTCAATTCTAAAGTATCTTTATAAATAATCATGGCAGTCTGAATCCTTTGAACTAGAGTCATCATTTGGTTGAATTATGATGGGTTGTAAAGAGGGTAATACTACATACTCATCTTCTTCTTTAATAACATATTCGACGCAGTTTTTTTCCAAAGCTCTTGGCGGTCTGCTACCAGAACTTTCTTTACGAGTTCTACAACCTCTTTACTCAGTTCTGGAGACTGATTACATTTTCGTAATTCTGATTTTACGTTTGCCCATATTAACTCTATAGGGTTAAATATGCAATAGTAAGGAGGTAGTCTGAGAAAAGTATGACCCTGTTCTTTGCACAGCTTGTCAATATAATAAATTTTACATTTAAATACAGTGCATTTAAGTTTACGATTCGATGTTTTCATTGGTTAACAACGGAGATGATGGATTTTGACACATATATATCAAGTACACGTTGACTGACCGTTCCTTTAATATTTACCGCATTGTATAAGGGGAGTAAACATTATTTTTCGTTTCTAAATTTGGCATGAGTACCGTGCGTATACAGTGAGCACCATAAGTCTTACCCCCCTATCTAACTCGTTACTGGAGTCTTGTTAGGAAAATCGCCGAGACACGTCGATTTTTGATTTCTACAATGTACATTTTTTTATAAATAGTTTACCCTTAATTTCATCCCTTACTGGAGGGGAGCAACCCTTTCGAAAAATTTAAATGGCATGGGGTGGTGAGTGATAGCTCATTTGAAAGAAGGTTTTATTCTTTATTCAACCGTGTAAAAATTTTTGAAATTTGCTTTATTAATTCTCGACTAATTGTTGTTTCAGAATAACGGAAATTAACGTAGCGCACTCATCCTTAGAATTAAAATTCGGCCCTGCATGATTTCGGTTTTGGTTCAGACGTGAAGTAAGACTTTTTGCCATGAGAAGGTCACTGTTAGTCTAGTTGCTTTCCTATTTTGTGAGGTTTTGTTATTTTTAAACATTAATAAATCAACACGTAATGAAGCAAATTTCAAAATTTTTTGCACGGTTGAATAGAGAATAAAACCCCCTTCCAAATGAGCTATCACTCACCACCCCATGCTATTTAAATTTTTCGAAAGGGTTGCTACCCTCCAGTAAGGGATGAAATTAAGGGTAAACTAATCATGCAAAAATATACATTGTAGAAATCAAAAATCGACCTGTCTCGGCGATTTTCCTAACAAGACCCCAGTAACGAGTTAGATAGGGGGGTAAGACTTATGATGCTCACTGTATATTAAATATTGATGATTCCCCACATAACTGTGTTCTGCAATTGATATTGGAAGGACTATAGTTGCATATGATAAACTTTATTCTTTTATTGACAAATAGAAAATAATGTTAATTTATTCTCAACGACTTGTTGTAGTCTGTTTATATTGATTGTTAAAGTTATTTAGATTTCAAGAAAGTGGGTTATTAAGAAGATATTACAATTTTCTTTTGTTTCTTTATTTTATATCTATTTTGTTGATAGTGAAAAGTTCGATACTGTTTATCCAAATAATTATTTGAATCAATGTCGCTTAATACCCTTGCTTTTTCACTTTTACAATTCTTGTTTTCCCCTCGATACTTTTAATTTAGAAAAAAATTAAACCGCAACGCACCTGAATTTACCAGGTTTTTGTATAAATTGACAAGGCTCAAATTATGTTATTGCGGTTATGAATCAGTCCTCAGTCAACTTAATCCTAACCTTGATATTCACAAGGTTCCTATTTAAGTATTCCACTTAAGTAAGTTGTTAAGAATAATTTAAGAATAAATAACAATTTTGCAAATTTTTATTTGTCGTTGATCCTGAAAATAATTCTTTAAACGTGTCAAGTACTTACTCGAAGTGGAATTTACATAATTTCTGTTGTTTTTTATAGTATACATGAGTTCCCACTTTATATTATTCTCTTTTGTGATTCTCCATTTATGTGATGCAAAAATTTGACAGCTCCAGATTTTTCTTGTGGGCTTACTTAGACGAACGTCTGTCAATACAAGCTTAGAATGTAACATTCGATCGGACATCTAAACAGTGCCCCAAGAAATTTCAGCAACTCTTAAAAAAATCCCTATATTCTAGGTCATTTCCAATTTATAAGAATCTAGTTATGCTGTTCATTCATCCAAAAATATCCTTTATTTTTATAACTCTTCCGTATACCAACTATTGTTCTTTTCGTTACAAAAATAAAATTGTTAAATAAAGGAAATTTATTGAAGGTAAATTTCTGGATTACTTATTAAACAAAACAAAATGACTAATTATCTTAACAAACAAAAACAAATGATTTGTTATGCACTACGCGGGACATAATTTGTTTATCTTAAGTTTGAACATTTCCTTGGGTTTAAAATCTCCTACAATCTTTTAATATCCTGTTTATTTTCTCAAAATACCTACGATTAAATGATAACACGATCTCAAATTGGATAAAATTGCAATAGGAGGTTCTGGTACTCTTATTGTTAATTCGTTTAAATTATTAGATCACCTAGAGTAGATTAATTACACAATAAAAACTATGATGTGAGTCACAGTAAGTGCTTTTATAGTAACGTTGGCATTGGCAAAAATAAATAAATTGAAAAATTGTAGGACGACAAGTGAATCAGAGAAAAACAACAATAACACTGATATAGGTCAAATACAGAGTGTTTCCTGTTTATTGGAAAAAAGCTATATAGCATGGTAATTAATTCTATTTTAGTATTTGAATTATTGCACATATTTAAGGTGCTTTTGATTCTGTATAATCAAAGTGATCTATTAATTTTGCACATTTTACTTCATTATTCTTAACCTGTTTTGGTAACATAAATAAGCTGCATTAGCATCATAATATTTTTAAAAATAGATACAAACAAAAACATTTTTCTTTTCAAAAATGAGGATAGCTCCTAAAGTAATATAAAATAAAAAATGGAAGAAAGAAAAAATTTACACTAAACCTAAACTAAAACTCAGACGATTGAGCAATCCGCCTACGACGTCGTGATCAAACTACTATTAATACTATTAGAGGCGCTCATGTTTCTACTTCAATTAAAAAAAAATCGATGCCTCAGATTGAGATATGATTGTCTTTTTGTTAAAAATCAACTTAACATTTTTAAAAAATAAAAAAGTCCTGCACAGACTGGAAATGTAAATCAAAGATTCATGTGGAAAATAATACAAGGAACACAACCATATAGTTTTTATTTGGTTCTACGTGATTTAGCGATCTGGATTTACTCGACTAACTCAGCGAACTCTATATAAATTAAGAACAGTGTTAATTTTTTTATGGTAATAAATATATTTACATACTCGTATTTATTATTGGAAAAAGTATCAAACTATCGGCATAGTCAATAATACCTAAGTATTGATACATGATATATGTATAGGTATAGTTGCAGTTTGTATTATTTTAACATGACAATGTTCTCTATTCTAAATTTTTGAAATAACAGTAAGTATGTCCCAAAATAGAAGCATAAGTATGTTTCTTGTTCAATTTTTAAATGCACTTTT